CTGCTATATATACCCAGTATATTGTATTCCTCTCCTTGGAGAGCCCAAAGAAGGGCTCCAGGAGGTCATAAATCCCCATGGGGGGACATAACTGAAGACATCACTTTCATTTCAAAAATTCAAGGCTTTCATTTCCTAAAGGTGATCATCAATAACAGTTGCACATTAACTGTATGTAAACAGAGGCTTTATAGTAAAAATTCCCTAACTTTCCCCTTGTCATGCTCTTGGAATTCGAAGCTGGCTCAAATTTTTGGAGCATGTCCACACTATGTTCTCATTCACCGATGCAGAAAACTTGTTGAGTCTTATCCCATTTTTTTATATGACTACCTGTGTACAGATTTTTACTCTCGTTTTCCCCACAGGCTGCGCACAGAAACCAGCGTTTACTTTGTTTTCTAGAGCGCAGCAAGCTCCGACCCACAGCGTCACTTCTCACAGCGAGGGGTAAGTTACCGTTTTCCTCAAATCATTCCACCTTGATTCGGGAGGGAAAAAAAAAATAAATCCGAAGAGACTTTTGACCTTACGAGATGACAGCAGTAAGAAACAATAGGGACAGCTTGCTTTAAAAAAAAAAAAAGGGCAAACAAAAAAAAAAACAACCAAAAAACAAAGGTTTTTTTTTCCTCTGTTTCCACTGTTCCTCTGTTACCTTTGACAGCACCTCACCTTAAAGGCACCTTTCCACCTCAGCATTCCCGGCGCGCTGCAGTCCCTCATGCCACCTCCCTAACCAGCCTCGAAGCAAAAAGTGACGTGGGAAAAACAAACAAACAAAAAAAAAACAAACCCAAAACCCCAAACAAGCACCTTACCTACAGCCTAGAAGTTGTCACCTGGGCTTTAAGCGGTATTTGGGGCAGGGCCGGTCATTCCCCGGGCCGGGCTGTCATAGCCGCCCCCTGCGCGGCGTTAGGGGAGGCTTTAATGTGCAGCCAGCGGTGACACCGCGGGACCCGCGTGTCCCCAACCCCGCCGTGTCACAATAAGAGTCTCCGCTGCCCGGACACTCGTCCCAGGGCCGGAGCCGGGGATTTTGGGCAGGTGCCCGCGGGCAGCGAATCCCCCGCCGGGGGCAGCGGTGGGACCGCCCGGCGCTCGCAGGGGCCGGTCCGGGCGCTGATGGAAGGG